GACCCCCCGTGACCTCAGGCTTTGCCCTCCCCAAACCATCCGTGCTCCCTGGAGCTGACCCAGCCCAGTCCTGATGCTCTGAGGTGGAACAATTCTCCCCAGGCCCATCCCCAGTGCCAATCCTGCCGCCCTCAATGCCCCAAGAGCAGCAGATCCCGCCCAGGACCTGCCGGAGCTGCTCCATCCCTCGGGGTGGTTTGGGAGGATGAAGTAACTTTTCTTGGAGCTGGGACTCCCCTGGGCAGAACTACAAATGAAACAACACATTTTGTATGATTTTCTCGTTAGTGCCTGGATAAGAATCTTAAACGCCAAGAGCCCTGGGGTAGAGACTGGAGCTGTTTGTTCAAAGTGGGAATAGATCTCAGGGAGAGGGGAGGTCAAGGAATGAGGAGAAATGCATTTTCCCTGACTCATGTAGCTCATTTCAGAAGGACAAGCTGCAAGTGTCGTCCCCGTTACCCAGCAGGAAGCAATRTATAAACTTTACGTTCGAACAGCAAAGCGCTCTCCAAACATTCTGCTTTACCTCCAAAGATGTTTTCRCTCATGAGTCAGGGCTGATCCCAAGCCAGTGGGAATGTTTCTATTTACTTTGAGATTGTGCCTGCAACTGTAAATCCAACTTATCTGTCCTGAGGCACACAAGTGATCCCGTCCAAGGCTCGGTTCTTTCCTCTCAGGATTAGAAACCCAAAGCACGATGAAATCCAGCTTTGTGCAGGGCTTTGTGAGCGAGCTGAGGATGGGATGAGGGGAGGAAGGAGCCTGTCCTTGTCCTCCTGAGAGCTCTGGAGGGCTCTCCCTGCTGAAATGTTTCACCCCCGAGCTTCTCCCAGATGTGCTCCCTGGCTTCCTGCCAGTTTGGGGCAAGAAAAGGCGAATTTGTGAGAGCAGCTAAACCTTTCCTGCCCTCCCTCAGGGCTGGGCTGGGGGTTCAGCAGCCCCTAAGAGTTTTCTCTCCCCTCAGGCTGCGCTGCTGGGAGCCCGACAGAGACCCCCACCCCAACAGCCACGGGTGGGGACACCACGAGTGGCACAGCCAGCGGAGAGACTGATGTCACCACAGCCAGCAGGGACATCAGCAGTGCCACAGCAACATCTGGTAACCTCCCTCTCTGTTCCCCCTGTGATCCCTGGTAGCATTTGTAGGAATAATTAGATTTAGTAAGCGCACAGGCTCGCGCTGTTAAGGCATGTTTATATCAATAGAAATAAAAGCTTTAATTCCATCCCAAAAATGCCACCTGGGGACAACCAACCCAGGCAGCTCAGCCCCATCCTGCTCCAAATAAAAAGTTCATTGATGTTCATCTCTCCCCACGGGTTGGAAAAGCACCTGTAAGAGTCTGTCAGCCTTTGGGGGCAGAGGACAATGGGGAATGGCTTCAAGATGAAGGAGGGTGGGATTAAATTAGATATTGGGGAGGCCCAGAGGGTGCCCAGAGAAGCTGTGGCTGCCCCTGGATCCCTGGCAGTGCCCAAAGCCAGGCTGGACATTGGGGCTGGAGCAGCCTGGGACAGTGGGAGCTGTCCCTGAGATGATTTTTAGGGTCCCTTCAACCCAAACCATCCTGTGAGCCGACGATGGGAGGTGCAGCTGAGGCTTGGAAAGGTTCTGGAGCAGGGATGGGAGGATGCAGGGATGGGAGGATGCAGGGATGGGAGGATGCAGGGATGGGAGGGTGCAGGGATGGGAGGATGCAGGGATGGGAGGATGCAGGGAGCCTTGGGATCGACACCTCCTGAAGCCTCGGGGCACGGGGGAGCTGGGGGTGATGGCGGGGAGGGGACAGCAGTGGCACTTTGTGATGGCCGGGTATGGAGGGGTGTGACAATCCAGGGGACACTGAGGAGTGTGTGACAATCAAGGGGACACTGAAGGGGTGTGACAATCAAGGGGGCACTGAGGGTGTGACAATCAGGGGGGCACTGAGGGTGTGACAATCCAGGGACACTGAGGGTGTGTGACAATCAGGGGTGTGTGACAATCAGGGGGCACTGAGGGTGTGACAGTCAAGGGGCACTGAGGGTATGACAGTCAAGGGGCACTGAGGGTGTGACAATCAGGGGACACTGAGGTTGTGTGACAATCAAGGGGGCACTGAGGGTGTGACAATCAGGGGGGCACTGAGGGTGTGTGACAATCAGGGGTGCACTGAGGGTGTGACAATCAGGGGGGCACTGAGTGTGTGACAATCAGGGGGCACTGAGGGTGTGTGACAATCAGGGGGACACTGAGGGATGTGTGACAATCAAGGGGACACTGAGGGGTGTGACAATCAGGGGACAATGAGGGGTGTGACAATCAAGGGGGCACTGAGGGTGTGTGACAATCAAAGGGCACTGAGGGGTGTGACAATCAGGGGGACACTGAAGGGGTGTGACAATCAGGGGACAATGAGGGGTGTGACAATCAAGGGGCACTGAGGGGTGTGTGACAATCAGGGGGACACTGAAGGTGTGTGACAATCAGGGGGGCACTGAGGGTGTGACAATCAGGGGGCACTGAGGGTGTGACAATCAAGGGGCACTGAGGGGTGTGACAATCAGGGGGCACTGAGGAGTGTGTGACAATTGGGGGGCACTGAGGGTGTGACAATCAGGGGGCACTGAGGGTGTGTGACAATCAGGGGACACTGGGGGTGTGACAATCAAAGAGGCACTGAGGGTGTGACAATCAGGGGACACTGGGGGTGTGACAATCCAGGGGACACTGAGGGTGTGACAATCAAGGGGGGCACTGAAGGTGACAATCAAGGGGACATTGAAGGTGACAATCAAGGGGACACTGAAGGTGACAATCAGGGGGCACTGAAGTTTCCCCATCCCCTTTCCTTTGCCTTTGTCCCAAACTGCAGCCGCCGCGGGCTCCGTGGCCACCAGCCCCAGCTCTCCGGGGCCCGGGGGACAGCTGAGAACGACCCCCCAGCCCAACCCAGCGCCCACATCGCCGCCGGGCTCCTCTCCGCAGCCGCAGCCCCGCAGCCCGGGGG